AGAAGGAAAGGAGGGTCTCTTCTCTCATCACTAAAGGGACACTGGCCCACTGGGAACAAGGCTGTGAGTCATCAGGTGTCCCAGTATCAGTGACAAAAGGCACAACCCTTGAGAAGATAAGGGACCAAGACAACGTTCTGACTGATGGGTGGGAGTGCAAAACCCCTCAGAGAAAGGAAACAAGGAAGTTTCATTCAAACTTCTCACATTCTATTGTCATTTCCTGTTTATCCATTTCCTAATTAATTGTAAGCTTTGGGAAAGCAACATCTATATCTTATTTTGCATTTTTATCCTGCCCTAAACTAGTACTAGTGCAAATTAGGAGCTCAGAAAAATGCTGAATGACTATATGGACAGATGGAGGGATAGATACATTTCCACTATTTTTAACACAGAAAAGGTGACAGTGGCTGTGGACCTGCCTCTACAAAGTATGCACATTCTCCTCTATTATTAAAAGAAGCTGCTTAATTGGGCTCTATTGTCACTCCTAACAACAAAAAAGACCATTTTGCCTGTCATTCTTCAAAAAAAAATGTGAATAATAAGTTTATATGGATTATTAAAACTTCATCTCTAAGAGAATTTCACTGTAACAAAAAAGAGTAAAATACAGCATTTTTCATACCATTACTATTCTTCAGATTGTATCTTTCATTCCTGCTTGCAGGACTGTCTTCTTGCACTGTTCCTAAATGATGGCAGCTTAAACAGGATAGAATAGGTGATTCTCTCAGGAACAAAGGAAGTCCAAAGGTAGTCCATCCAGGGGCCCAGTGTCTGTCTTTCCATCTCAGCATCTTAGCATCTTCAAGGTCACCTCATAGCGACTACATGGTCCAAGATGACAGCCATCATACACATGCCAGGAGACATCAGACGGAAGGAAAAAAGGGCATGTGTTGAACCTTCACCATGAGTCATTAAAGAAGCTTCTTGCAAGATACATACAACCTCTTGCTTTATAAACACTCCATTGGCCTCCCAGCTGCAGATGCTGGATAACAGTATCTTTTAACTGAACAAATTAAGGTCCTCTTACTAAAGAAAAAGGGGAGGATGGATACTCGGGATAGAATCAGGCTCTCCCACATAACAGTCGGATGTGGTGTGGGTATCACTGGGACCTCATCCTAAAGCCCTCTTTTCATTCTATACTCTTTCAGAGAAAAGTAACCTATATCCATGGCTTTCAATGCCATGTTATGCCACTGGTTATAAACCGGTCTTTTTTCAGCACTCCATGCTCCAGGGGTTTGGATTGTTGTTGTTGTTGTTGTTTTTAATAAACTGTTGACCTTGGAATACCAAGTAACACTATACTGTGATCTTATACTTGAACCTAGGTGTTCTCATCACCAAGGACAGAGCTAGGATTCAGGAAATAATGTTTGAAACAGAATATTGTCTAGTGAGGAGGCTGAAGAAGCACAGAAAGGAAAAGGGCTAAGTGGGCCATTTCTTTAGGTGGAAACTTCTGTGTCAGGGGTCTCTGGAAGCACTGAGGGGGAGTGAGAAGGCTGAGCTGCCCTGCTCCCACCTTCCTCACTGATTCCAGAGAGACACATATGGCTGCCTCCACAGGCCCTTGCTGCCTGCATGTTCATTCTTTAGATATTCCCTAGTGACACATCTGCAAGTATATCCCTGTAAAATCCTGGCTAGCCTGGAGTATCCTGCAAGCAATCTGGATATAAAAAATATTCTGTCCAAGAAGTTTTTCTTTTATTGAACATTATAGAATTATAATATAAAGTTTGAGTAATGAGAACCATTCATGTAAAATCAACAAGAAGAAGGTGAAGTCTGCTATGTGGAGAAGCCGGGCTAGGTACCATGGAGAGGCAAAACCTCCCCTCCACAAAGTACACACACACACTCAGACTCGAGAACATTCAATTTCCACTCTACCTAATTCGACAATCTCTTGTTTAAGTTTCTACTCCTTGTTGGGTACTCTGTTGAGGCACTTGGAATGTAATGATATAAATTACTCAGACTATGAAATGGTTCTATGTTTTCTGAATTTTAATAATGAAGAACTGAGAAGGATCAATTCTTGTTTTGGAATAAAAAGAACATTATTTATTTTTAACAGAGTTGCCAGCATTCAATTCTCCTGTAATGCATTTTTTAGATCTCAGAGATTATTACCATTAGCTGTCTACTTTCAAGATTTATTTTTTTCCTCAAATTTATTTTTATAGTAGCTCAAATAAAATATGTTTTGTTAAAAATTAGTTCAATTTCCCTTCCAAATAATATTGGACTAAATAACTCAGAAGTTTATCTAGATTTTAAAAAAACGCATGCATGTCACTTATATTCACATCATTCTTGTTAAAGGCATTTGGGTGTTCTCAATTTTCTACCAATTTGACTATTGATGTATGTGGTTCTTTCTGCTTTGGTAGGACATTATTAGAAGTACTAAGTGATTCTCATTCACTTACCAGAAAGAATCATCAGGGAAATGATCAAAAAGCTTAAAGATAACATATCCAAGATAAGAATATATTTTCTTATAGTTGAAATGGGAAATAAGACATAACTCTCCTTTTTTGTTAGAAAAATAATTATTTAGGTAAGAATATTTCTAATTAGAGAATTAACAATGAGCTAAGGAGAAACAACTGTGATATACTAGGTTCAGAAACGGGGTTCCTAGAGATTGTACCCCAATGTTTGATGTCCTCTTTGACATCTGGAATGTGGATGGGAAAGCATATGTTATTTCAGAGTGGACAGAAGTTTCCTTTTTAGCTAGATGTAGACACGGGCACCCCACCTAAGGTCAGACAACTCTAGTTTGAAAGGACATTTTTGTGAGCTTCTTAGTTCTACAAAGTAAAACCCAGACCACTTTCTAGAGCAGAGGGAGACAAAGAGGACCTAAACTGTGCTCCATCATAATATAAAAAGCATCCATGCTATAAGCAGAGTTATATGTTTATGAAATTATAATAATACAATTGTAGAGAAATTGTATTATTGGGGAAGAAAAGCTATTCTTCTCCATCAGGCAAATAAGTGTTGGAGGCCTGGACAGGCCAAGAGCCTGCTTATCTGAAAAAGTTCTGTCGACACTGGAATTTGCATAATGGCCAGAGGATTGAGGCAGGAGATATCCAGGCAATGTTTTATGGATGGGCATGGCGAGTAGAACCCAGGGCAGTGATACTTAATAGCCAACCATTTGTATGGTCTCCTATACAGAAATTCCATTCTGCTTATCTCATGCCTTCAATAAAATGGTGTTAGATGTTACTGCATAGTCTTAGCTGTGCTCTGGGAAATAGAAGTGAGGCTCATGGCCAGACCTGGGGCCCAGGAATGCAAGCAGAGGGGCAGCAGTCAGAAGGAATTACAAAATGGCAAGAACAAGGGGCCAGAAAGGAGAGGGCTGCGTTTTAGGACAAGCAACAACTAGGATAGATCCATGAGGTGCCTACGCAATTCCAGGGGGATCTCAGAAAGACTTGGGAAACACTTAAAAAAAATACATTTCTGGATGCATGAAAGGTGAGGATTCTGACCCTATTAGATGGGATTAAAGGGAGGGATGACCTCTAAGGTTAAGGATGTGGAGACATGTACGTCAGACTTAGATGAGATCCTAAGAAGAAACCTAGTATGGTGCAACAACCATTCAAAGTGGGAAAGAAGAGTCTTTTTAACAAACAATGCTGGGATAACTACATACAAAAGAATGAAATTGAACTCTTACCTCACATCTTTAAAAAAGTTGACTCAAAATGAATCAAAGTTTGAAACATAAGCACTGAAACTGTAGAACTCTTGAAGAAAACAGGGATAAATTTTTGTGTCTTCTGACTTGGCAATGGAATATTAAATATGACACCAAAAGTATTAAATATGAACAAAAAATAAAAAATAGGTAAATTAGATGTCGTTAAAATTTAAAACTTTTGTGCTTCAAAGGACACTATAAAGAAAGTGAAAAGACAATCCACAGAATGGAAAAAGTATTTGCAAATCATATATATGATAAGAGCCTTGTATCCAGAATACATAAGGAACTCTTATAGCTCAATAACACAAAGGCAAATAACCCAATTGAAAATGGGCAAAGAGTCTTCATAGTCATTTCTTCAAAGATATATAAATGGCTAATAAACACATGAAAAGATGCTCAACATCATTAATCACCAGGGAAATGCAAATCAAAACCAAAGATACACTTCACACCCATGAGGATGAGTATCATAAAAAATTATTGTCAGATAATAACAAGTGTTAGTCAGGATGTGGGGTAACCGGAACCCTCATATATTGCTAGTGGGAATGTAAAATGGTTCAGTTACTTTTGAAAACAGCCTAGCACTTTCTCGGCTGGGCACAGTGGCCCACTCCTTTAATCCCAGCACTTTGGAAGGCCAAGGCGGGTGGATCACCTGAGGTCAGGAGTTCAAGACCAGCCTGGTCAAAATGGTGAAACCCTATCTCTACTAAAAATACAAAAAAATTAGCCAGGAATGGTGGTACATGCTTGTAGTCCCAGCTGAGTAGCTGAGTAGCTGAGGCTGAAGAAGGAGAATCACTTGAACCCAGGAGGCAGAGGTTGCAGTGAGCTGAGATCGTGCCAGCCTGGGTGACAGAACAAGACTCCATCTCAAAAAAAAGAAAAAAAAAAGAAAGAAAGAAAAGAGTTTAGCATTTTCTCAAATGGCTAAACATAAAGTTACCATGTGAAGTTCTTAGATATATACAGTTACCCCTTGGTATCCATGGGAGATTGGTTCCAGTCCACCCCCATCCCCCGCCCAGGATACCAAAATCCATGGATGCTCAAGGCCCTTACAAAAAATGTAGTATTTGCATTTAACCTACTACACACATCCTCCTATATACTTTAAATAATCTCTAGTTTACTTATAATACCTAATTCAATGTAATGCTAGGTAAATAGTTTCTATACTGTATTGTTTTTTAAATGTGTATTATTTTTATTGTTATACTGTTTATTTTTATTTTTCAAATATCTTCGATCTGTGATCTGTGGTTGCATGAATCCACAGATGTAGAACCTACAGATACAGTGGGTCAACTGTAAACCATATGTTCACACAAAAACTTGCACAGAATGTTTGTAGTAGCATGAACAATGACCAAAATGTGGGAGCAACCCAAATGTCCACCAACTAATGAATGGATGAACACAATGTGGCAATATCCATATACTGGAATGTCATTTGACCATAAAAAGAAAATAAATAGTGATTCATATTACAATATGCAAGAATCTTGAAAACGTTATGCTATGTGAAAGTAGTCACTCACAAAAGACACATATTATGTGATTATATGAAAGGTCTAGAATAGTTAAATCTACACAGATAGAATGTAGATTAATGGTTGCCTAAGGCAGGTGAAGTGGGAGTTACAGGATTTCTACTAATACAGGATTTCTTTTTGGATTGATAAGAAAGTTCTAAAATTGACTGTTGTGAAAGTTGCACATACTTGTGAATATACTATACTACTGAATTGTTCACTTTAATGGGTGCATTATGTTACATGATTAATATTTCTATACATCTGGTATATATTAGTTATATATATATGTAATTTATATGGTATATATGTGGTATATGATATATATAGTAACCTCATTTGCCTTCTATTTTAGATGCAACTGGACAACTCATCCTTTCAAGGCCAGACTCTTCCGTAATGTTAAGGGCCTCCAGGGAAATGAGATCTACCACTTCCTGCAACTCTTAACTTCAAACAACCCTCAAGGGCAGATCACTGTCCTTCAGGGCTAGAAATATCAATTCTCTAGTACTTAGACCCTTTGCTAAATTTACTAAGAAATCTTAGTATTCTAAGGTCTCAAATTTAGACACCTGAAGGGACAAGCTAATTAGAAATGCGTGGCGGTGGCTCAGTAAGGCAGTGATGGGGCATTCAGTGAACTGCAGCTACAAATGGACACCTAGAGTTGAACAATGTGAGGGCCATGAAAATTCACCAAAGACATTAAAAATTAAAACAAAAGAGAACCAAGCAGCACAAAACTAATATAATGTCAAGGAAGAAAAGCAGATCTCTGGACAAGATTTCCCCACTGGGCCCCCAGCTCATTTTCTTTGTTCTAGAAGAGATAAGCAATAGCTGTAAGTTTACTATTTTTCCCTTTTCCGGACTGAATTTTCCAGCTTTCTCAAGAGCATGTAAGTCAAAAAAATCATCTTTCTTTCATTCAGTTCTTTCTTTTACTTCTGGTGCTGGTTGTGCTCTGGGCTGACATGCTAGTTAAAATCTCCATTTCAGCCTGGAGAGTGTCCTATGTCTAAACTTCTGCTTTGGGCCCTCAGTATTGGCTTGTGTTCCCCCATATTTGAATTTGCAATGTTGAAAGGCAAACTGGACAGATATGGTGGCTAGCCATTTCTGGTGCTCCCATCGTATCTCAGCCTGACTACATCATCTACAAATTCCCACGTGTTCCTCTCTGATTCCAGCTGCGGCCCTCATTAGTGTTAAATTGATTTCTGGGGCTGCATCACCTGGTCAATGCCCATCCCCTGCAGTGAGAGGTAAAAGGCTGCAGTCCCTGTGGGGCGCTTGTGCTTACTGTAAACCCATCCAGACTCCCCGCCATGTGTTTGCACACAGCCCTCACCTCTTCAGCTTCCATCCACAGGACCTGGCTCCACAGCAAACATTTTAGCAAAGTGCATTTTGGGGGTTGAAATATGAGTACCAAAGGGTTACTTTGCAGTTAAGGGGAAGTAGGACATCCCAATTCTCATACATATAATATCTCTTAATGGCCAAGGGTGAAAACTTGGATTTTATCTGAGCCTGTAACTCTATTTCTAAATTAACCTATTCTGTGGGATGGGCAGTTCCTTTTCGCAAGCTTTCTTGGTATTAGTCCAAATCTCCACCCTGGTCTGTGCTAAGAAGGCTCTGGTCTGGCCGGGGCTGCTGGCCTGGGCTGTCACCCAGATCTGCGAGTCCAGGTGGTTCTCAGCAAGGCAGCTTTTTCCTGGTCTGTGTGCTGCCAAAGTCTCGGACTGAATTGCTGTATCTGATTCAGGGAACCGAGGAGGTGATGCCTCCCCGATCCTCCATGCCTGATACACTTTCCAGGTGGGACAATGCCCCACCTTGCCTCGGCTAGACACCTTTGGTTTGCTTTCACTGTCTTTTTTGGGGAGTTAATCCTGCTGTTCAACCAGTCTCTTTAAAACAAAATGGGTACCTCGCTCGGAGACGCGGATATCGCTCTGGTTCTGTCTCACTCAGTGGTAGCTGCACTCCGGAGAAGCTTCCTTTCGGCCATGTTCCCCACTTCCTACCATCTCCATTGTAATCTTATGGGACCACCATTGGGCTTACCATCGTACATGCAGTTCATAGTTGACTGAAATGTTGTTATGCAGTACATGACTGGAATAGCAAAATAAAAAGTCATCAGCAAACCTTTGATCTAGGTAACCTAAAAAAATGCCAGTTATCTTTCTACCATACATGCACGCACACACACACACACACCCTACTGTAAATACATATACATATATATGAGAGAACTCTTTCTCTCTCTCTCTACACACACACACACACACACACACACACGCACATATGTATATGAGAAAACCCTCCTTACTTGGGCAAAGTATAGAGGAATTTAAGCTGGGCAGCCTGACTTTGAGGGCACTATATTGTTTTCTTCAAGAGAGAGGGGCTCTGCATTTAATGAATGCAATTCATTTAGTCACAGACAAATTTTTTCAGAAGAGCATGAGTAATCCATCAGCCCTTTGAGAAAATGGACAAAATATCCTACAAGATTGTGCTCTCCTGTCAATTGATTCCTATCTTGATTTTCTAGGCAACTGAATCCTGAAAAAGTGAGGCCCTTCTTTGGGTCACTAGAAAGTTCTACATGCCATTATAAATCAATGCATTAGCTTTCCAATTTATACATACAACACTGTTGGCAAGTATAGTTACTGTGAAATCAGCCAATCATTTCTGAATTAGCCAATCATCATCTTCGGACTACGTAAAACTAAGGACAAAACAATGGACCATGATGATCCTCCCTTCCTGCTGCATTCCATCCTCCTCCCCCATCAAAGGCTGTAACTCTGTGAGATCCAGTTGAAGACAGCCTTCTTGTCTCATTAAGGCTAAAATTATACAAGAATATGTGCATTTTAGCAGAGAAAAGAAATAGGAGAAGATAACATTTGTCAGTACAGAGAGAGGGTAGTTGTCGTACACTTCTGCACATAAACATAGTAGGTGAAGAAAAAAAAGTCTCTTCTTATTAATGAGGAGGTCAAATTTCCATAGTGGTTTGATAAGTCACAAGGAAATAGGGAGTTAAAAGATACCTACAGACATACATGGCTGGGCAAGACATGGGACACTCACACACAACTTCTGTCTCCCCATTCTCTGAGGATGAATATTTGACATCTTTTTCCCTCTCCTCAAGTCTCTATAATCACTTCCCCACCTCAGTCTGCTGATGGCCTCACCTCAACGTATTAGAAAATGGAAAGTGTTAAAGATTATTGAAATACTTTTTCTACCTAGAAACCTTTAAAGTATTAAAGAGTTCTCACCCACACTTCCTTGTCACAGAGATCCAACTCATTTGGGCAGTTCAAGAGATACACATTGAGAGGAGATGTAACAAAAAACAGCAAGAAAAAAAGTCAATTCCTTGTTTTTGAAACTTATTTTATAGAGAATAATCTGGAAAGAAAAGGCTTGGGTTTGTAGTTTTACAAACTTTCTGAGTTTCATAAATTTTAGCTGGAAGACATATGGAAATGTGTGTGCATGTTTTGGATTTCACAATGAGGAGGACTGGGGGTTGGGGAGCAGGGCGTGCAATGTGACTCACATGATGAAGAATTATTCTGCCCCCAAAGCCTACAGCATCCAGTTAAGAAATGCTTCTTTAAAGTCTTGCAGGTTTCAGGGCGTTATGCTGTCACCATAAATATTAGATTTTGTCAGAATAGTTGCAGCTCCTGGCTACCTTACCTCCAAATTACATAAAAATCTCATAGGATGGCTGGATGGAGAAGAGTCAGAAGGAAGAGATCTTCGATACCAGTGTGCTCCTGAGAAAAGAGCCTGAGGCCTGTTCCCAAGCTGAGTCTTAGGAGTCTTTGGACATGATTAATTTCCCCTCCCCCATATCCAGATAAGTTGTGGAATCTAAGAGCAGAAACCTGTGTCTCAGTCCAGGACAGTGCCCATTTGCTGGGTGGGAAGGCCCATAAAAGAGGAGAAGATAGCATAGGAGCAGTAGAATTGAATATGGCTGCATGGAGTGTCCAGATAGAGGGGCTGGAGGAGCCTCACAGAGGGAGTCTCTATAGCCCTGGGTTTGGGGGCAATGGCTGGATGCTTTCTGGTGCAGTGACAATAGTGAAGATGCTGCACCACTACTGGAAGACCTGGGGAGGGCTCGGATGCAAGGACCGCTTGGCATGGATAGAGAGGTCTAAGCTGCAGGTGCTTCAACCCTGTTCTGATGGCACTATATGAGGCCCTATTGGCAGGCTTGCTTGCTTTCCCATCCCTCCCCCCCTCCCTCCCTCCCTTCTTCCTTCCTTCCTTCCTTCCTTCCCTCCTCTCCCTCCCTCCTTGTTTGCTTTCCCTCCCTCCCCCTCCCCTCCCCCTCCCCCCCCCCTCTCTCCCTCCCTCCCTCCCCCTTCCCTCCCCCATCTTTCCCTCCCTCCCTCCCTCTCTTCTTTCCTTCTTTCCTTCCTTCCTTCCTTCCTTCCTTCCTTTTCATATCACCCAGGCTGGCATGCAATGATGCAATCATAGCTCATGGCAGCCTCGAACTCCTGGGCTCAAGCAATCCTCCCACCTCAGTATCCTGTGTAGCTGGGGCTACAGGTGCATGCCACTATGCTCTACTTTAAAAAAAATTGTTTTTATGCTGCCCAGGCTGGTCTCTCTAAATGATTGAGGTTACATTTAGCACTCATGTTGAAATAGAGTGTCAAAATAAAATTAAGATTTTTTTCAGAAAAAGTTGTCTCTTTTGGGGAAAGAGCTTTGGGGAACAAGAAATTAAAGTTGCTACAGTACAGACCCATCTTTCCTGTTTTGATGGAGGAAGAGTTTTGGTGAGGAGTAAAAGCAAGAACTGTCCCTCTCTTCAAGTTTTCAAAGAGGGCAGGGAGTTCTGCTCCACTGCCTAGGAAGGAACAATCCTGGGTAGCAGGGTGAACTACCACTTGCCAAGCCTGATCTAGTTACTACTGCTTCTGAAGGTCCAACCTATCAGCAACGGAAACTAACAGTGAAAGACCAGCTGGCTACCTGATGACAAATTGACTACATTGGTCCTCTGCTATCCTGGAAAGATTAATGGATTCGTCTCAAAGGAATAAACAATCTGGGTATGGACTTACCTTTCCTTCCAAAAACTTCAGCCAGCAACACTAACATTATGAAATGCCTGATCCACAAACTTGGAACTACATAGCATCTGACTGGAGACCCACTTCCCAGTGAAATAGAGGTAGGATTCACTACTCATATCTCACTTTGCACCACCCAGAAGAAATCACCCTGACAGAATGACAGAATGACCTGCTGAAAACTCAGCTGAGAGGAAATACTCTATAAGATGAGGTACTGTACTCCAGGATGCAGTATATATTGAATCAGAGAGCTCTGTATAGCACCATTTCACCAAAATGGAGAATACATGGGTCTGGGAACCAAGGGTGAAGGAAGGGTGGCTCCATTTGTCATCAGCCTGATCTCCCTGGGGAAATTTGTGTGTCCCATTCCCACAACTCAGGGCTCTGAAGTCTTAGAGGTATTGGTCCTCAAAGGGGGCACACTCTTACCAACAGATATGATAAGAATCCTATGGAACTACAAGCTACAACTACCACGGGAGTGCTTTGAATTACTTGTGTCCAGGCTCCAGCAGGCAAAAAGAGTCACCCTCTTGGCAGGGGTAGTTGATGCTGATCATCAGAGGGAGGTAGAGATTCTGTTCCACAGTGGGGTAAATGTGCAAGGGAAGGATATGTGTTGAACCTGGGTGAACCACTTGTGCACACCCACACTGGCAACGTCTTTGCCCAGTTTTAACAGTGAATAAACAAGGGCCTGAGAAGGGTATGGTCATCAGAGACTCAAATCCCTCAGAAATGAGGATTTGAGTAATGCCACCAGGTAAGTCCCTGAAACCAGCAGGGGTGACAACTGAGGGCAAGGGCGTTTTAAATAGATAGTGGAGAAGAGTGAGTATCACTTACAGCACTGAGATCAAATGCAGCAGCAGGGGCTGTAGTCTGCCTCCCTAAACTCCCTCTTGTAAATTTCCCCTCAGAAAGAAAGACCCAGTGGAATCCTGGAATTGTTATTCCCTCAACCTGTATAGAGAAGTGAATCTGGACTCTGGCAGCCAAGCAGGTGGACCACTCTGATCTCCTTTCAAGAAAACACTTGCTATTAAGCTGCAAAAAGTGCCATTAACACAGCCTGCAGCTGCAGCAACTTTGGGATCTACACAGTGTAGGATCTGAAGCCATGCTCCTCTGGGCAGTCCCCAGCCAACTGCTGAGCATGGTAGGGGTACCAGAGTCTGGCCATTTCTGCCCCAAAGAGGACCTTCTCTAAGAGGCAGTCTCTGCCCTAGAGCTCCATGTTGGTTTGGCCTTATCTTATATGCACTGTGGTTTGAGTCTCCCTCCTTGTCCATTCCAAGAAGGAGGGCCTTTGTATGTCAGATCAGCACATAGTCTGAAGGCTTTTCCTTCCCAGTCTTCCTTTCTTCCCCTTTATCTTTCACAGGAACTCCTCTTCCATAAACATCTTTTACTCACTCCTAACTCTGTTTTAGTGTCTTTCCCAAATGACCCAAACCATCACAAATCATAAAAGAGCGTGAGGTCCAGGACACAAGTGACCAATCTACCCACTCTCTACCACTACAGGACGAAGCCCTGTTGATTACTCTTTCTCAGTGCATGATGAATCTGTTCTCATGTGCCATGTTCATTACATGGTTTGAACCTTTACCTCAATTTGTCTTTATAATCATTTAAGTAATATTTTAAATAATTATAAAAATAATACACTATAGAATCCAAACACTACAGGACTAAAATTATTCTTTTATACTTCACTACTAATTCTCAGAGCTAACTATTAATAATATTACTTGTATATCCTTTCAGATTGACATACATGTCCATAGACAAATGAGATTATAGTAAACATTGTTATACAACCTGCTGGGTATTTTTAACTTAAAACTCTTTTAGTTGAGCATTCCCAGTCCAAAATTCCAAAATCTAAAACACTCCAAAATCCAAAACATTTTGAATGCTGACATGATGCCACAAGTCAAAAATTCTACACCTGACCTCATGGGATGGGTTTCAGTCAAAACACAGGTGCACAATACACAGTTTATCCAATGTCCCCCCTCAAAAAAAGCCCTCCTAGGCCCATTCAGCTGCCATATATATTTTCTGTGCATGCCCAGATTCCCCCATACAAGCCTGCCCATAAAAAGCAATAAAATGGCATGTGTGCAGGTCAGGCATACCATCAGCAGGCTCTCCATGATGCCCCACATGGGGCCAAGATCTATGTGCATTACTACCTGTGTTTTCCTGCTTATTCTCTGCTCTGTGGTGTAAATAAATTTTTCAAAATGTCAAAAAGGCCCCTAAGAGTAACAGTGATAAGAAGAAGAGGAAGTATTTATGTTTACCTGTAGCGCAGAAAGTTAACTTGTTGGAAAAACTGAACAGCAGTGTAAGTGTGAAACTTCTTACAGAAGAGCATGGTGTTGGAATGACCACTGTATAGGACCTGAAGAAACAGAAGAATAAACTATTGAAGTTTTATGCTGAAAGTGATAAGCAGAAGTTAATGAAAAATAGAAAAACACTGCATAAGGCTATACATGAAGATCTGGATTGTGTATTGAAACAGTGGATCCACCCCATAGCAGTGAACATATGACACTTAATGGCATGTTGATCATGAAACAAGCAAAGATCTACCATGATGAACTGAAAGTTGAAGGAAACTGAATATTCAACAGACTGGTTGCAGATATGTAAAAAAAGACACAGTGTTACGTTTTTAAAGATTTGTAGTGATAACACATCTGCTGATCATAAGCAGCAAAGGAATTCATTGATGAGTTTGGCAAGGTCATCACTGATTAAAATCTGATACCAGAACAAGTCTATAATGCTGATTAAACATCATCGTTTAGGTACTATTGCCCCGGAAAGACCCTGACTACAGCTGATGAGAGCTCCTACAGAAATTAAGGATTCCAAGGGTAGAATAACTGCGCTGGGACGTGCTAATGCAGCAGGCACACCTAAGTGTAAACTTGCTGTGACAGGCAAAATTTGTGTACTTGCTGTTTTCACAAGTCTATTTCTTACTAGTCCATTATTATGCTAACAAAAAGACATAGATCACCAGGGACATCTTTCCCAATTGGTTTCACAAACATTTTGTACTGGTAGCTGGCGCTCACTACAAGGAACCTGGACTGGAGGAAGATTGCAAGACTTCATTATTCCTTGACAATTGTTCTGTTCGTTGGCCAGCTGAAATTCTCATCAATCCTGTTACAGCAGGTACCTTTCCCCAGATATGACTTCATTAATTCAACCATGTGACTAGGATAGCTTAGGCCAATTAAGAGTAAATATGAAAACACTTTCTTGAATAGCATGCTAGCAGCAATGAACAGAGGTGTGGGTATGGGTTTTCAAAAGGAGTTTTTAGCATAATGTATGCCATATATGCTGTTGCAATGCTTGGAATAGAGTAACTAAAGACACAATTGGGCATGCCTGGAACAACCTCTAGCCTGTAATTATATTCAGTGATGATGATAAATAAGATGTTGACTTTGAAGGAGTCCACTTGTCCACTTTGAAGGAGTCTACTCTGAAGGAGAAAAATTATATCTGACTGCCTTACATATACAAAAAATATTCCTTCAGAGTCCATCAGTATGCTGAAAGAAGTGGATATCAAAGAAGTTTTTAACATAGCTAATAAGGCTCCAGTTGTTCATTCATTGACTGATGGTGAAATAGCCAAAATAGTTCTGAATCAAGGTGATTGTAGGAATAGTGGCTACTATGATGACGTTCACACTGTAGAAAATGTACCTACAGACAATGTGGTGAAATGTGCAATGGGCTCACTGAAGGACTAGAGCAGTGTGCATTAATAACAGAACAAGAAATCATACCCATTTATAAAATCAAAGGGAAACTTCTAAGACCAAAACTGTTATAATGAGACAAATGACTCTGGTGGAAATTTTAAAAAGCCGTCCAGCACAATGCCTACTTATCCCTTGAGGACCCACTTCCTGGTCTCTCAAGGGCTTCTAATGTTTCTTCTCACCTAAAAAAACAAAATACAGTGTATATTGTACAACCTTTTAATCAAAACACAGCATCATAGGTGGGGACTGAAAGTCTGCTGTTTGTTAGTTGTTGCTGTAGTTTAACAGCTGATACAGTATCCTGGTGATGCTACTGAATGGCTTAGTTACCCTGAACACTATTTTTTTCCCTGTATTAATGGTATGTTATATTTTTATTGTTAAGCACTGATGTGTGAATAAGTATAAGAAAAAGATTGCTTACTGGTGGCATATAGATTCAGAGTCAGGAATGAAGGTTATACCAAACAACCACAGACTGTCCACATGGGTGGCTAAGATTAGTGACACCTTTTCTTTTTGATGGTTCAATGTACACAATGTACACAAACTGTTTCATGCACAAGGTTATTAAGAATTTTGTATACAATTCCTTTCAGGCTGTGTGTATAAGGTATATATGAAACATAAATGAATTTTGTGTTTAGACTTGGATCCTATCCCCAAGATATTTCATTATGTATATGCAAATATTCCAAAATTTGAAAAAATCCCAAATCTAAAACACTTCTAGTCCCAAGCATTTCAGACAAGGGATACTCATCTTGTATTTTGGAAATATGAACAACTTTTCATATCAATATATGTAACTTCATCTTACTCCTTTAACAGCTGTTATCATAGTTAACAAGTCACACCATTGAAGATTTATCTTCAGGATTTGGCTTTTGCTAACAAGGCTGCAGCCAATCTTGTATTCATTTTTCTGGGAACTGAAACTTCAAATGTCTGCCCATTTTTAAATTAAAATGTTTACTTTTTCACATTTTTTTTTGGCATTTGTTACAATATTGTTACTTTATTCTTCTTTCCAACTTTTATTTTAGGTTCAAGGAGGACATGTGCAGGTTTGTTACACAGGAAAGCTGTGTCGTGAGGGTTTGATATACAGATGATTTTGTCACCCAGGTTATCAGCATAATACTCAATAGGTAATTTTTCAATCCTCCCCTCCCTCAATTTTTAAAAGTTCCTTAAATGCTAAAGAAATTAGCTCATTTTCTTCTATGTGTGTTACATTTTTTTTCTCTACTTTGTTCATTATATTTTGACATTTGCTAGTGGTGTTTTCTGTATAAAAGTTTGAAATTTGTGTATAGTAAAATTTTTTCAATATTTTCTGTTACAGATTTTAGATTTGGAGTCTTGTCTAGAAATGCCTTCTCCATGCCAATATTATGAAAAACAAATCATGTATGTATATTTCTAGTACGTTCATAGTTCTCATTTTTATGTATTTAAATCTTTTATTTTCTGGAGTTATTTCAGCATAAACAATGTGGGGTTTTTTTCTGGACAACTGCAAGTAATTCTAATGCTATGTATTAATGGATAAATCTTTCCCCACTGATTTGAAATATTACACCCTAAATTTCCATGTTTCTATTGCTACATTATTTGATCACTACATTTCTCAGTCCCTTAATATAGAACCTGTGTTAATAGACCACATATGAACAAACAAATGAGATGAACAACAGAATAAAAATACTTACCTAAGAGTAAGTCAGTAGGAAAGTTCTTCAAGGTCCTAGTTACTTTTACAGAGCGCCATGTCTAAAGTTCAATAAGTTGGTCTGCATCTCCAGCAGGTGCCAGGCAAACAAGTGAAAGGGCAAGGATCTAGGGCAATCTGGGGTTTTGTTGCCTTCTCCATATAAAATCTTTCCCATTAGAGTTCTTGGATTTTTACGAGAGCATGGTCGTTTTTAATGAGCGCATAACTGAAGGAAGGCTTTGCACTTCAAAGCCTGTTGCTGTTACACCCGCTGCATTAGTAAAGTAAGTTCGGGGATCAGTTGGAACGAGACTGTTAGGTGTCTTATGGCATCCCTCTGCAGCAAGACAACCTTTCTGAAGGTGATTGCAGACAGACATGGTCCTGCATCTTTGAAGTATACTCAATGCAGAATCAATTTAGGAACTCACAGATACTAGTTTTCAGCTTGTGTTTATTCACATTGCAGAAAAGGGTTTAATTAATATAATACATACTGGTCAATTCTTTGCTTTTAAACTCTACCTTTTGCCTATCAGCAGATCAATATGTATTTTAATCTTCTTCTGTTTTAGAACTGATTTTAAGACTCAGAGCAAAGAGATCCAGATTTCACAATCATTAATTGCTATTATCAGCCCCTTTGATTTCCTAAGCATCAGCAGTTTCTTAAGATTCTGCTTTCATTCCTTTACTAAGTTATCCCTTCTTGTTCATCACTCGGTTCTGTTGTGCCTTTCAACCAAGTACAGAGTTTATGACTAACCAATAATGGGAAGAAAAAGAATGGCCTGCAAATTCTCCATTGATTAACCAGTCTGACTCCATCAACAGCTGCACACAAAACTCAAGTGGTCTGACCACTTCTTGATGGATACTATCGAGTACTTTTTCCAAAGTTTCAGGTGGGTCTGTCAGAGGGACTCATATTCATTTTTTCTCTTTTTAAATAAGTACTGCATTATCTCTGCCTCTCATGGGAAGATCAGAAGTAAATAAATAAATACTGAATTATCATCTTTGAGTGGTCAGTTATTCTATGTATTACAGTATTAACTTGTTTCTTCCTAAACTGTATTTTCTAGCATATCAAAAGTTGGAGAATCAGAAGAATCTGCCATTCCTTTGCTGCCTAATTTGGGCAAGTCACTTAATCTCTTTAGGTCTTAATTTCCTTGTTTGTAAGATAATATAACAATAGGGCATTTTTAGAAATTATGAGAGAATCCGAATAATATATTTTGCACAAAGCCTTGCTACCAGAACAAATGAGGAACTCAAAGCCCAAATGAAGGACTGTCCCTGTTAATAGTGTTGATATTGCTGCTGACTTATAGGTTAAACTAAAAGGCATAACTGAATGGAAGGGAGTAATCTGACAAAAGGATCAGTGTGTTCAAACCTACAAGTGTATCTCTTACTTAAAACTTAGGAAGAAAAGAAATTTGTATGATTGGTCAAAAAAACAACCTTTTCATTTGGTGTACTGCATTATTACTTCAAGTAAGATTATTTCCATTTGCCACATAATTATGGAGCCTCCCTTCCTGTATGCATGCCTCTTTGTATCCACAATGAAATGTTCCTCTGCTATCTTTATGGAGTTTATTTTCTTCTAAATATAAAATTATAAATGTTCATTGTAAAAAATTTAGAAATTTATAAAAATATAAATAAAATAAAATTTTTTCTTTATTCTACCACTGGTAGATATGTTTGATGCCTTTTCTCCCATATACGTACCAATACATATATATTTATATTATATATAAATATAGAAATACATCAAAATTTTCATATAAAAATACTTTGACTCACCAATAGACTTGGTTCTGAAATGCAGATCCATTTGTGCAAAAGTCCATAGTGACTTTAAACTTAGCACAATATTTGTTTTTGTTGAGAAGAATTGACCCCTTTCTGCTCTGCTGTGAGGTGTAGTTTCTATCTATGAAAATCTGTGGGTGGAAAATTTATAAAGCAAATTTTTTATCCTATCTTTTTCATCAAATGTCAAATCATCAGAACTTTGAAATGTCAATAAATATTCTATAAAACAATGATTCTCAATATTGCATGATAGTCCATTAAATGAATATAAGATTTACTGGACAATTTATTTACTAATGTATTTAAAATAACTCCATGATGCATATCACACAGAGAAATCTTACTCTATCTCTCATTTCCTCAGGAAAGATTCCTAGAAGTTGTATCAAAGGTAATACACAAATTTAATAATTATGGCATATATATGTGTATACATACATATATACATATATTTGTGTACACACACACACACACACACACACACATACACACACACACACGGTCAAATGCTTTCCAGAAAGATTGTGCATAATTACATACCTAACCACATAGCTAACCACAGCGGCACTATTACTGGCACAAAGTTAGTATCATCTTTTAAGTCCTCTCTAATTAGGCATGAAGCTGTGTCCATCCACTGTGGTATGCTTTCTGAGACTTGGAAGTCTGTGCTTTCTCATTGACCACAATAGGCCTTAGGGCTCCAAATTATCTGTCAGACTTCACATTTGGTCCAGGGCCTATGGCTTCAGTGGCTTTGCCTTCTTTTTTATCTTGTTGCCCACCTGGGTTCTAATTTCAAAGAAATACTGACCAGTTTTGCTTGATGTGAAACTATACTGTAGTCTATTCTGATACAGAGGACTATAGATGTCCCTAGTCTCTACTCTGCAGAGGAGTGGAAAAAGCTATTTCTGCTGCCTCATTGGTTCTGGGTGGGAAGATGTTTTTTTAGCAGTTTCTGGTTTATCTACTTAAATTTCCTCTTTATCTAGCAGTTGGAGGTAAAGTTGATATAGTAGTGCTGATTTCCAAATGCCAACACACACACACACACACACACACACACACACACACACACACACACACAGAACTTTAGCTCTTACTCCCTACCTTGGGATGAACAAACACAAATAAAAGCATTATTATAGATTTAGTCTCATTGCAGGCAATCACATCCATCCCATTGAGCAGATTATTATAACTCCTTACACAATTATCTAGCAGCAGTGAAAGATGTCTCAAACAGTATGAAACACAACTATTTATCCAGGAACAACTGCCTGTGAGACTTTGGGAGCAGAACTGAGGATCCCTTAAAAAGGTGCTAAGAACCTGCTAGCCACTTTCCCAGATATTCTACATATGCTTCAGAGATTCTCTCTCTCTCTCTCACACACACACACACACACACACCCCAAAACTGATCACAAAATCCACAATATAAACTGTACAAAATATGGGAGATATTGCTAGGTCTGAAAACATTAAGAAGGGGGTCTGAGAAATAAGTTAAAATAGATTTTGGTTTTTGTTTTAAAGAAAGCTATTGCTAGAAAATTAAAGATACAGGAAAAAAGAGAAATGAAGACCACTCCCATGTACTTGTCAACTATTGTGTTTCAAGTTCTCTGTGGCTGAATTTCATCAAGGGATAGAGAACTGGGGGAAAAGAGTTAGCAGGAAGGTATAACCTTGAAAAATGTTCAGTATTTAAGAGGAAAGAGGAAGGAGAGTCTGAAAAGAACCTATCAAAAAAGTAGGAGGATAACCAGGATCACGTAGTTTTATGAAAACTAGAATAGGAGCTTCAAGAAGCAAAAGCAAGTCCTCAGTTAAGTGCTGCACAAGAAATCCAGGGTAAGAACTGACATATTTAAGTGGGATTTATTTGTAGGGAGCAACCTTCAAGAGAGAATGGATGTTAATGTTTGAGTGACTTTTCTGGAGATGCCCATTATTTCAATCTCGCCCCTACACCACCTTCTTATAGAATCTACCCATGTCCCCCTCGGTCTCCTTTCATTGTGTCTGCTAAACAGGTAGCATCGCTTTCTGTCTGGACACAGAAGAGTGCAGGGAAATAAACTGTGACGACTCTTTTAGGTTCTTAAATGGAAAAATTAAGTGAGTCAGAGCCATGGTGCCCATGCCTGGGTTATGTGGAAATTAGGCTGAGAGCACCAGTCAGTAGAAGAAAGAGAAGGAAGCAGAGGGACAGAAAGGCTGAGAGATGAGAGAGCAGACACCCCCAGGAACAGAGGAAAGGGAGGCTGCATTATAAGAGACCCCTTGCTTCCTCTAAAGGCTGGGCTGCACTCCGGCCCTCGGGTACCATGAATTATCCCTCTTTCCTTCCAGTAATTTTGAGTAGGATTAGGTGCCTCATCATCAAATTACCCCATCCGAGACAGTAACTTTTGTGTGCCATTTGGCTGTGTGCTAAATACTCTATCACATCATGGTTACAAGAGCTCAGCAAAGAAGGTATCATTATCTCCCTTTTCCCTGAGAGGAATCTGAGGTTCACAAGGTTAAATAACTTGCCTAAGGACACACAGTTGGTGAGTTAATACGGTTCTAAATTCTCATACCACTACTCTGGGCCATAAACACTAAACAAGCTCAATTACTGCTAATTGAACTTCTGAGAAGTTCTCAGAAGTGCATGAAGGCTACGTCTGTGCTATAATATCTTCCTCTATATTAATTATAAACATAACACCTTAATTTGTAACACTCATACATCAGCTTTCAGTATGCTCCATGCAGAGGAAGTGTGTCAGAAAGAGCCAGAATCTTCTCAAAAGAAGTTTGCATTCTCCCAGTTCACAGAATAAACTACAACTACAATATGAACTTTATCACAGGGTCTTAGAGACTCTAACAGAAGTATAAGGCTTTTCAGTTATTAAAAGAATTGAAAGCTTTTTACTGTTCATGAAAAAGACAAACTCCTCCCTTTCAAATTATTCTACTTTATAGTACAATTCCTTCTGGTTTGGAGGAGAACTTCAGACACTTTTTCAAATAACCTCAACCATTTAATCTGTACCTTTAGGAAGTCATGCTGAGAGTATATGGAAAAGAGACAGACAGCCAGAAAAAGGTGGGGGTGGAAAGGGAAGGGAGAGGGTTATGGAAAAGAAAAGGTAAGACATTGTTTCTGAAGTAGTAAGAATCTCCCAGTTTTTCTGTCCTACTTTAAAATGGGCTGCGTATTTCTATCCGCAAAAGAACATCTAACATTGTTTAGGTAGTTACAAGTTAAAAACCTTCTACATGTCTACACCAGACAGATCTTTCCACTTGTCATCCCCATCATACATACATCAGCAGTGCTTATATTCATTAGACACTTGCACTGGAAGTTAAGATGCTCAGTCAGCTCAGACTAACAAAATACCGCAGACTGGGTTGCTTAAGCAATGAACATTTATTTCAGGAGGCTGGGAAGTCCAAAATCAAAGTGCCAGCTGATTTGATTCCTGATGAGAGCTCTCTTCCTAGCTTTTAGAAAGTCACCTTCTCACTGTGTCCTTATGTGGTGGAGAAAGAGTGAGTGTTTTCTTTCTCTCCCTTCCCTTGCATATAAAGCCATTAATCCCATTGAGAGGACCCTCATGACCTCATCTAATCTGAAGAACCTCTCAAAGAGCCTATCTCAAAATATTATCACATTGGAGGTTAAGGTTTTGATATGGTTTGGCTGTGTCCCCAGCCAAATCTCACCTTGAATTCCCATGTGTTGAGGTGGGTAACTGAATCATGGGGGCAGGTCTTTCCTGTGCTGTTCTCATGATAGCAAGTCTCACAAGATCTGATGGTTATTCTAAGGGTGTTTTCCTGCATATTCTCCCTCTCTTTGCCTGCTGTCACCCATGTAAAACATGACTTGCTCCTCCTTGCCTTCTGCTATGATTGTGAGGCTTCCCTAGCCACATGGAACTGTAAGGCCATTAAACCTCTTTCTTTTGTAAATTGTCCAGTCTTGGGTATGTCTTTATCAGCAGTGTGAAAACAAACTAATACAGGTTTCAACAGATAAATTTGGGGGTGGGGAGCACAATTCAGTCTATAACAGATGCTTTGAAATAGCTATTTAAAAACAAAAACTGTATGAGCAACATCCAAGAATCTCAACCATGACATTATAACAGAATACATGTCCAGGTATTATAGAATGGTAAACCTTAGACAAATGCCAAGGACCTTCTTCTATAGAGCTTGAAAAGATTGAAGAAAGGAGCGCTACAGATTGTTTGGGGCCATGAAAGGTGGCTTTGAATAAATCAATTAAAGTAGGTCTCCACTGAGGGAGAACCCGTATTGTAAAACATGGGCCTGGGGGGAGCAGAGAGGTCTTACATGCTGGCTACTGTCTCAGAAATAGAACTTGGATGCTGAGAGTACTGAGAGGAAGGGGAGCTGCTGACCCCCTTCTCTAAGCCATTTGCTGGCGAGATCACTCTGGGGATAGGGGGAATTTAAGAAATCTAACTTGAGTCCAACTTAAGAATTGGTTCTAGGACCACTGAAATTTTACAAATAACATGTATTTTCTGAAGTATAGCTGTTGCTAGAATTTGGGGGCAGACTATTCCTGTTTCTAAAAAAAAAAAAAAAAAAAACACTTCAATAAACCTTTTGGTTCTACAAAGGTAAAGTCAAGATCCTAATTTGAAATAGAAAATTTCCAGAAAACATTAACTGCTTTGTATAATTATATCTGAAAGTCTTTTTTTTCCTTAATATATGCAGTTTTTGTCAGGAGACTGTGGCTAGGAAGCAGGTTGGGAGGAAAGCTGAGACTTTTTTTCCCCTGCTCTTTTTAGTATTTACAATATGGATTGAGTGCCTGGACTCTGAGTGAAAGAGATACACTATAGAGCATGTCTTCTGTGGTGAGGGAAGTTGGCCTCCAAAACATGGCAGCAGACCAAGGAGAGCCACTCTGTGGAAGGGCTCTTCCTAAAAACATGAGGAGTCTTTCTGTCTATTTCCAGTCTTAATATTTTTACTTTCCATAATACGATTCCATTCAGTTATTCTCAAATCTTTATTAAGTTTGCCAAATACTACAGCCTTGTTTAGGTAAAGAGACTAAATAATCAAAAACTGTTAAAATTGTAAATTTTTTGTTATGTATATTTTACCATTTTAAAAATATTTTTTTAATAATTAAAAAAAAAATTTCCCACAAAGAAAAGCTAAGACCCAGATGAATTCACTAATACATTCTAAGCATGTTCAAAAAATTTAACATTAACCTTTCCCAAACTCTTTCAAAAAACAGAAGAGAAGGGATAATTTCCCAATTCATTCTATGAGCCTAGTATTAGCCTAACACTAGATAAAGATATCACAAGAAAACTTCAAACCAATACTCCTTATTTTCAGAGATGCAAAATCTACAACAAGTTCTAGGAAACTGAATCCAGAAACATGAAAAAAAAAAAAAAAAAAAAAAGATTATGTACCACACCATGACCAAGAGAGATTTATCACAGGAAGGCAAGATTGGTCTAATGCGTGAAAATCAATTAAAGTAAGACACCTCTTAATAGAATAAAGGACAAAAACCACATGATAATCTCAATAGATATAGAAAAAATATTTGACAAATGGAAACACCCTTCTATGTCAAAAACAGCCAACAAAACTAAAAATTGAAGGGAACATCCTCAACCTGATAAAGAGCATCTATGAAAACCCAATTGCTAATGTCATACTTCCTGGTCAGCTTAATGCTTTCCCCCTAAGATCAGTAACATGACAAGTATGTTCACTCCTGCTACTACTATTCAATGTCATACTGAAGATTATAGCCAAGACAGTTTGGCAAGAAGAAGAAATAAAAGGCATTTAGATTGGAAAAGGAGAAGTAAAACTACGTCTATTTGCAAATGACACCACTTTGTATATAGAAAAATACTAAGAAATTCACACAACAAAACTATTTGAATTTTAAAAACTGGAAATAAATCAGAAGTCAATTAATTGGTGAATGAATAAACAAAATGTGGTCTATTCATATAGTGGAATATTTTTCCACGTAAAAAGGAATGAAGTAGATATATGGTACAGTATAAACAAACCTGGAAAACATCAGTCTCAATGAAGGAAGCCAGATAGAAATAGCTAGACATATTGTTCTGTTTATATGACATATACAAAAATAGGCAAATCCATAGAGATAGAAAGTAGACTATGGTCACCAGGAGAGAGAAGATTGGGTAATGGAAAGTGATTGCCAGTGGGTAGAGAGTTCTCTTTGGGGTAATACAAATGTTCCAGAATTAGATGGTGATAACTGTAGATCTTTGTGAAATATGTATATTTCACAAAGATTGTATACTTTAAAAGGATACATTGTATGTTATGTGGATTATATCTTTTTAAAAATATATATGTATGGGCTCTAACCTAGGTGTTTGAATTCCTATCTGAATTGTTGTGAAACAGATACATCTAGTCAAAGGGTGATTGCCAATTTCAAAATCTATTTAGAGATAAAAGTGATCCAGGGTTTGTACTCCGACTAACTTCATGTTCAGGAAAATCAATGTTGGACTTCCTCAAAATTGTCTCTTAAGAACAGGGATTCTGCCTCCCCACAGATTAAAGAGAGCAGAAAGCCCAAGAAGGACGCTGAAGCTGATGATGACCTCCATGTGTCAGGACTGTTCTGTGTAGCTCCACCTGTTGTGCACCAGTCACATACATTATGATGTAGTTTGTGCCCCCTTGGACCCATGACACTTCAGTGAGAACACCACCACCATTTGTTATCACAAAGCATTTTATGACTGTGAATGAGAAGTATGCTTCATAGGAATCTCTCTAAATAGTCTTCAGAGTACATATTTAGAGTAATACTCCTCAGCCCAGAGGAAAACTGAAGTGGTGCTTCTGGAAGCATTTACAATGAGTTCAATAGTCAGTTGTATATCAAAGTCACGAGAATGAACTGACGTCTTTAAACCTCAGGTCTTAAACGATTTGCAGGGACTGCCTATGTTCCAAAGCTTTCCATGTGCACTTTTACTGCCTAAGCCTCCTACTTTTAACCCAGAAGTAAACGTTGAAAAAGAAAATTTATTTTGCTTACTGTTTGAAGGAAAAGGTTAAAAAATGGGATATCTTATCATATAGCCTATAATTATTTACTTTATGGTTCTTTTTACTAGGCATCCAATACAATTCCATTCATCCTAGATCACATTTAAGATTTTCCTCTTATATAGATACCCAAAACACAGAAGGGATCTACTGAAGACAGCTTACCTTATATTTTTGTCATGGTGAATATTTATGAATATCTGATAGCTCTTAACCTGTCAGATGAGTCTTCTTCAGATCTAAATAAGCCTTCCTATTTTACGTAGTTTCCTATAGCAGCACACAATATTTCTGCAGTTGCTTCACTGGGAGGACTCTGTCAACAATCAGCATTTCACTGGCATTAACATGCAATAGAAGACAATGAACCATGACTCAATTAAATCATAAAAAAAAAACTGTCTTCAGATAATATAACCCAGTAGTTTTCAAAGCTTTAGATGTTGTGGGGCTTCTGCTGCCTGACTAACATTAAGGTCAGAGCTTTGAAAACATATGCCTAAGCACCTACCAACACCTACACATAAGATGATTTAGAGGACGGAGCAAAGTTCTGTTTTGATTTATTTCCTTCTCATACTGTATCCAGAGATTTTACAACTTATAGCATGTGATATCAATTAGGTATCACTACTGCAAAGAGTAAGAACACATTTTCCCATCGCGATGTCCATGGAAATATAATTTGCCCAGAAGATACAGTTAGGGAGACCTATCGATTCCGATTTGTTTAAAACAACTAAAAAAGATTATGCAGGAGGGGTGGCTCAGAAAAAATATGTAGGCGCCCACAGTATGAACTAACAGGACATCTGATATCTGGATATGTCAATCAACACATTCCACAGTCAGAAAGAGTCTTGTAATAAAATTGTTAAGGTTAAGAAAAAAGATGGAGCTCTTCTAATATGTAAATTTATACATTTATGTCTCACTTAACCAGGTGGACTGGAGGAATGGAAGGGTTCCTTACAGAACCAGAGGCTTTCTTTTTCTTTTCTTTTCTTGACTGTACTTGAAATATTTAACACTCTAGGTTTGAATCTTCAATATTTTAGGTTTGATCTCATTCAACACTTAGTCATTTCAATTAAAATTGCTCTCCTTTCTCTCATTAAACTAAACCATCAGGAAAAACTATGTGATTTCACCAAAGTAAAGACAAAATGGATTCAAATATTAGATTGTAAAAATGTTAGAAGATTTCCTTGTTGAGGAAAATTATTAAAATTCTCTCGCTTCAATTATAACAAAAGGCAGGGAGAAATGGCCAGGGACATGTTGAACTCATGGGCAAATAGTAAAAGAAAATGCTCTGGCACATTTAATATATAATTCATAAATTCCATATCACTATTTTAAGCTGTGATTAATACAAACTCATTCAAGATTCAATTTTTTTGTAAGAAGGCTATTATATATGCCAACCAAAACAGAATCAAATAAAAACAATCATTTAAAATAGATCTTTAAGATAAATTTAAAACATTTAAGGCATCTTTTTTAAAACTGTAGGGATTAAAATATATATTAAAATCACAGGTCAATTGAAGAATTAACAAAAATGTTGGCAATAGAGTGTGACTCTATGCTAGCCCTATATAATCACTTGTTTATTATATTCAGAAGCCATTAATATAAAATGGAAACTGAAAAGAATTTGAAAATTCAAGTTATGAAGGCAACTGATGAGGATAATTTAAAAGAAGGAATACTTTCTCTGTTTGCTAATATTAAAAGATTAATATATTAATCTTTTTGAAAAAATTACTAAAAGTTTACTTTTATATTAGTTTGGTGTATTAGTTTCCTTTGATGGCTGTGACATATTGCCACAAATTACCACAAACTTGTGGCTTAACCAACAATACAAATGTATTATCTTACAATCCTGGAGGCTCTAAGGAGAATCCATTTCCTTGCCTCTTTCTGCTTCTAGCACCCACCCTGAATGCCTTAGATCTGAACCCTTCCTCCGTCTCTAGAGCACATCACTTCAACCTCGGCTTCCATCATCATATCATCTTTTCCTCTCCATATTCAAATCAACCCCTGCACCTCCCTCTCTTACAAAGATACCTCCTGCTGCATTTAGGGAACACCTGGCTAATTCAGGATAATCTCCCCATCTCAAGATCCTTAACTTAATCAAACCTACAAAATCCCTTTGCTATAGAAGGTAACATTCACAGGTTCTGGTGATCAGTACATGGGTATCTTGTAGGGCCATTGTTCAGCCTACTACACTAGTCCAGAAAATATATTTTTAAATCTTCAACCTAAGAGTTACATAAGTGAATGCTTTATTGATCAGCTTTACTTGGCATATGTCATTATATTCCAATGGGAAGTAATAGCATGGTCAGGCTGGCTCACCATCAGTACCTCTCAACAGAGAGTCTGCTTCTGAGAGTATCTGTGTGGTCTTCTGGGCCAAGCTAGAGACACTGGGCAACACAGTGAGGGTGGTGTTTCCTTTGAAAGATAGACACAAACTTCACAGTTACTATTTACATAAATAGTACTAGTATGTGTATATTTTGTTTAGTCTAATCAATTCATAAGAAATCTAGATTTCAAACTAAAATATACCTTTCAAAATTATTCCTAACTGTTCAGGACAATTTTTAAATTTTTTTCTCTTAAAAAAAGTGTTAATTTTTTCTGGAAGGCAGGACTGGTAGTGCATCAAAATCATACAGACTTTGGAACTGCAGCTCTAAGCTTACTAATTCCTAGGTTCTGTGTGATCTTTGGTAGTCAGATGCTTAACATTTTTGATCCTCAGTTATTTGTGTCTAAAATGGTGATGCAAATACGTATGCTACATGTTTATTGTAAGATCATTAGTTTTGCTATGATAACTGGCATAAAACAGTTGCTAAATATTAATTATCTTCCACCTTTTATATTAGAAAACTTGTCTATAAAAAGTTCACAGTGAGGGCACAGTGGTACACATCTATAGTCCCTGGTACTCAGGAGGCTGAGGTGGGAAGATCACTTCAGCCCAGAAGTTCAACACTGGCCTGGGCAACATTGTGAGATCCCATCTCTTGAAAAAATACTAAGTGCACAGTGAAATAGGATCAACTTACTATTATTCAGTATGGTCTACAGAATGAATTCAGGCACCTGGTAAATAAAGTAACATGAAAATAGTAATAATTTCATTAAACATTCGATAATAGTATATATCACAAATGTGAAATATTAAATGTAGTTACCAAGTTTAAAAAGAGTCAGATATTTGTTAAATTAAAGTGATCATTCTACTATTTAAAAGGTTATTTGCTTATTTCATTAAATTATCACTGAGCTGGTAATTTTGGCAATCCTAAACCTCTTTGTTTTTGTATTATGTCATCTCAAAATATGTGTATTAAAAATGTTGGCAACCCCCCTCAATAAAGAAGTGTGACTTAAGTATCAGAACAATAACTTTAAGAATTAATAGGATGGATGATATAGGTATTTTTCTAGATCACAGAAGGTTGGTAAGAAAATCCACATTCTGAAGTGTAAAGTAAAACTTCCTTTCTCCTACAAAAATATTTGAAGCCATTCTCCTGAGATATGTCTACTCTATACATCATTCTTAAAAAGATAAAGAAGCTGATAGAGCAACTGTCCTTTCCAACACAACAGAGAACTCAAATATGCAGCAATTGGTCACTAAGGTGCTTAGAAGCAGTCTAGAGTTTCTCAGATCTCCATAGGATATGTCATTAAATCTTCTCCTCCTGCTGGGTCTGACTTCTGGGAAAAATCATATGGTATAAATATTACTATATTTGGTAGTGAATACTAATGATTGCTCAAGAGGTTCATCCTTCAGTTTCTATGGCCTTTAGCATCTAGTTGCTTATAAATGTGACATGCTTTGATTTGATTTAATAATCTTTTTGAATTTATGGTTCAGAATTCACTGTACAAAATGTACCTGTAAAGTCAGATATCCATATATATGGAGACACATACACATTTATTTTTGGAGTTATCCCATTAACAGATTATAAAATTAAGGCAAGAAGACCAAGACCTTTCCAAGGCACATTTTAAAAGGTACTTGTTCCTCTAAAATCAGTAGGATCTGAAAACAGATTCAACACAAGTATACACACACACAAACACTTAGACATAGAGGTTACATATAGTAACAATGTTTTTCTATAGTGAGAATTGTAAAAGCTCAATGATATTACATGAACTCAAAAACTATCAATTTCTATATGAACAATATCCTAATTATTGTGTGGAACAGCAGAGAAAGGTGTTCTGAAATGTGCAGGAATTAAATGATCTGTACCCAAACAATAAATAACGTGTTCTATGTTATAATACATTTGTAAGTGAATTTCATACAGGTCATGTTACACAGGTCATATTAAAAATAATTCCAAGGAAAGAGTTAAGAGACATTTGGTTAAAGATATAATTTCACTCCTCATGAAAGCTTTCTAAAGTTTTATATAAAGCTAATTATAGTAGTTCAGTATTATAAGAACAGGATGTGTTACACTGTGTGACTGTAATACTGCTGTGTTCCCTCAGATGGCATAAATCACTTGGCTAATTTGGCTACTAACAAATAGTTAGTATAAAATCTTATTTACCATGGCCAATGAAAAAATTCTCAGCAGTTGGATATATTTGAATCAAATGTCACTGTAAAGATAAGATGAAAAAGCTTCCATTATACATTCTGTTCAATTCTAATATATCCATAATGAAAGACTCCATAATGAAAAATAATAGAAAAAATATTCTGTATCAAAACTCTTTGTCAAAAGCTATAGTTCACATCAGAAGTTAATAGCACTAGGGAGTTAAATGATTAATACAAAAACAAATTCTTACTACAAATATTCTTTTGTTCTTCACTTACCATGATGCAAACTGCAAGGATTTAACCTTTAAGGGTTAAAGAGTTTAATCAATGTCAATGTCTGATCTTCTGAAGGCGATAAAGAACAGTCTGTCTAGCGATACCCAACAGAACATCACTTTGTCAAGCCACAAAGCACCCAAAAGCTTGTCAAGTAAGTTACCAGAAACCTCTTTGTGGTTAGAACTCAGCTCCTTCCTGCTTGACCTATTATTTGATATTTGACCACTTGGTTGCAAGACACTTGCTCTTTCTAGCTGAAATGTCACTGGGGCATCTTGTCAGCTCCCCGACATCTCGGCCTGACATACAATTTTACTTTTGTGTGCTACAAGGCAGAAAATGCAGGGCAATGGCCTTGTTTTAAATTCTGTCAGCATCAAAGATGGGCGTCACTCTTGGGTCCTACCAACAACAAAAACAAAAAAGGAGTCTATTTTGAAGGTCAAAACAGCCATTACCTGGAAGTTTTTCAGCTTACACTAAATATATTACCTGTTATCCTGGTGTGGGAACTGTCCTTATGAAGTGCCTAAACATACCACAGAAATCCTCCAGCACAATTGCTCTACTTTCTTATCAAATGCAGACTTGCTAAAAGAATGAGTTTTCAATGCCTGCAGGGACAAGATTCAGCAGTTAACTTAACTTGTTCAAATGGGCAAGTGGTATCATGTAGCTTTACAAGGAGCAACCTGACCTTCTCACATTGACCAGGAGTGACATTATTGTGCAGGAGGAGAAGCAGTCACATCATTTCTGTTTTGCACAACCTGCTTAAAGTTTGCAACTAAATGCTTGTCTTCAGTTGAGCTGACAAGAGAAAAGAGGGGGCTCAGTGAACCATGGCCGGGCTGCCATGAAATGACAGGAATCATTGGCATACATTTCAAATAGCTCTCTCAATCCTATTAAAGCATTGCAGTCCTGCTTTAAAATAGACAAGTATGAAACAACTTTGATAGATAGAGACTAAAATGGCTTATTGATTTTTTTAAGTCTGAGGGAAATTACCCAAAATGTGTCATTCCTTAACATTTAAAAATATGTTACATAAAAATGAGCAACTGTGATAATAAATAAAACTTGGAGAGAAAAAAGTTGGCTATTTCCTTATTCAGGGAGACAGAGCTACCAGAATACATCAAGATATAGCACAAATTTTTTAAATCTACTGTCACTTCTGCTGAAACAAAAGTCAACTGATAAGAAAATCCCCATTCAAAACCATTTTAATTGTACTGTTAACTCTTCCTTCATTTTTTAATTTCATGAAGTCATAATCCAATCTGAGTTGGTCTTTTGGCATTAGCAGGCATAGTCACTGGAGAGGAGTGAGATGATGTCAGAGCATGGGGCACAGTATTTATAAATGTCTCCTTTAAGAAAGTGTAAGTTGTATCAAGCTCAGCTTTCAACGGTAAGAAATCCCCAACACCAGTTGTGTCAGCAGGAAGAGCAGCTCTTGAAGGAGTGGAGAGATTTGAATGGTCTCGTGATCCTATCTGTGACATACAAAAGAAAAAAATAATAAACATAGAGTTGAAAACTCTCAAACAGAGCCTAAAACCATAAACAGGCAAGTAGACTAATAATCATTATAATGGAAAATGAGATAGCAATTACTATTTCAATAATCTGTATGACAATATATAAATGGTAAATTATTTTCCAAGTGTGATTGAATCCCTTATTTGCTCTTTTATGAACTTTTCTAGACAACAGGAGTTTGCCTAAACACTAAAACTTTGTATAAAACTTTGAATAAAATTATTGTATCAAAGAGTCAATACAATAAGAGATTTTTACCTTGACTTCAGTCCACTGGCAATTTACGGAAACTGATGCTAGCATTTATTTCATTATGCTATATAAAAAGTGCCATATAATACGAAAGATTAGATTGCTTAGAAACTATGAGTATGTATGTTTTTAAAATCTGTTTTACTTATTTGACAAAAGTAGCACAAAGAAAAATAAGCCAATCCCAGTGACCTCTAGAAAATGGCACACTGAGTGAGATACAAAATTCTAGTGAGAACTTTTCACCTTTACCTTTAATAATAATGCCACCACTCTGGTTTTTTTTTTTTCAACTTTATTATTTTAGGTTTTGGGGCATACTTGTAGATTTGTTACACGGTAATTCCTCAGGTAAGTCACTGAGGTATGGTGTACTAATGATCCCCTCAGCCAGGTAGTGAGCACAGTACGCAAGTGGTGGTTCTTTGACCCTCTCCCACTCTCCCTGCTCTAGTAGTCCCTGGTGCTCAGTGTCTACTGTTTCCATCTTTATGTCTGTGACACTACCCTATTTTGACAAAGACCATTATAAGTATTTAGAAATCACGCGTCAAAATAAGGGAATGAAAACAATTTGTTATATATTTGAGAACACTGATGGTATCCAGAAACTGTTGAGAATTAAACTTAAAAATGCCACATAATCATGAAATACTGGACAACAGAATTAACATTTTGATAAAGCTACATATTTAAGTCTTAAGTGACAGTGGTATCTAGTAGTTAATATTTAATGTGAAGAAAGTCTTAGCAGTAAAGCAGGTGTGTATTATTTTAAGACATTTAAAGATGGTAGGAAAATAGTGATCAATTGTTTGATATAATTTTCCAGATTTCCAGAAAATAAATGTTGCTGACATAACCAAGTCTGGCTATAAGTATGTCCACTAAAATTCATACTCTATATTGCAGGGTTGCTTTCTTAAAAAAAAAGAAAAAAAAAATTTTCAGTAGATCCTCTTACAGTTTTGATAACAAAATAATTTAAACTATAAGGTCTGCTTTATTATGTCATGTTATACAAAACTGTTTCTACATGTAAAAACAAGAGGCAAGCTATCACCAGCTTTAGGAAAGTATTAGAAATTCAACTGTTGTATGTGTTACCATTTTTGTGGATTTTTTAAAAACTACAACTGGAAAAAAATCAATATCTGCATCTAACACCTAGTTCAGCAATTTTCTTTGATCTTTGTTCTTTTGATTTCTTGATATTCTACTGCAGGCCTATAGCTGATGGAAATCATCTCTTTTTATACTGGAAGTTAGAAAACACCTAAAATGGTCACTTGAAATAGTGCTATGAGGGACAAGGTTTCCCAATGGAAGGAAAAGAACTTCCAAAATCATGTGTTGACCCTGATTAGTAGTATTAATGAGGTTTTGCTTGCAGACCCTTAATGCTGGGCCTGATCATGTCAGTTCAGAACCTGAACAGAGGCATCTCATTGCATCAGAGGCTAGAGGTGTAGATGCCTGCCTTTTTTCTGCTGCTAGAATCATTTTTTCTGATTTTTCCCCCAGTGATGCGTCTGAATTAACAAAGTCATTACTGGATTGACTTTGCAGCTATAAACATTACAGTGCTGTCTACTCACTTCTCATTCTGCCAGACCTGGGGGTTAGGGGAATGCTGGAAGAGCAAGAAATGGTGGTGCCTGATTTTCTTCTTAATAAACCTAGTTATAGCCATAGGACTCTTTATTATAACAGAATATTGTCAGGAAATGCTTCAAAAGTTTGTTTTGATACATCTTTATACTCCAAGTTCTGGTCTAAGAAAACTATGTATGGAAAATAGAGGGGTGTGCAGAATCAGTCCAAGGAAGGTCAGCTATCCACTGGGGGTATTTTCTTCTTGATGTTTTAGAGAAAGGTAACTATGCCAAATTGACCAACCACTCCTGTTTTGTCAATATTAGTGATATTCGTAATTTACTGAAACCTGTATGCTGTACTTAAATCCCTTTTTGTTCTTGTGAATCCATCAAGCTAACACATTACAAAGTTAGGAAGGCAGTCCTTTAGGGAGAGTCTCTACTAACTGCTCATTTCTTTTTAATATTCTACAGATCTTAGTACCCTACAAAGAGGCCCCTGTTTTGCCTTTTTTCATCCTACTTTTTCTAATATGTCTACTTTCCACTATGTTGTCTGAAAGCACCCTTTCATCTAATATAACATTTTTTGACTAAATAACCTTGAAATAGGGTGTTATTTCCCTAGTATTTCAAACTGGTCTCGCTTTTTGCACACTATCTTCTAACCTTGTGTCCTAAACATGGAAAATAACCTAAAATCTCCAGAGATTTAAAAAAAAAAAAGAAAGAAAGAGAGAGATATTTCCTTAAAGTCTAGTACCCCCCAAAAGATAGCCTCTAGAAAGTAAACAGAGATACTATTGTATGAAGGAAAACAAATGACTGCTTTTGCTGCTGGGATCATCTGCTGTACTGCTAGAAAAATAGCTTTTTTCATGAAATGAGGTAAAGTCTGATTTTAAGTCACTCAGTAGCTTAAAAAGAAGCCGGCAACAATTCTGGTGAAATTTTGATTTGAGAATGTAATGTTAAAATAACAAGTAAATATGGACTAGTTTTCTTTTTTACAAATATCCAGAATAATATCCAGAAATACGTAACAATTTTGTACTATTTTAATGTAACACAGAGAGTAAAAGACAGTTAAATAATTTTTTGTCAGAGAACATTTAAAGTTAGTATTCACCACCTGACGTTATATTTTAAATCTGTAAAGCCCATGGTCATATAAACTACTTTTAAAACTGCTGAGGTATTCTGTCTCTTACGTAAATCTAAATTTAGGCAGTTTTTCAAACGGAAATTAGTTACCTGAAATAAAAGCTAGGTGTCATGTGAATCTTTATGGAAGCACTTTTATTTACTCAATAAGCTGTAAATGATTCTATTTGAACTGCTATAGTCCATCAGCTAAATACATATTCACAATACAAAATGTGTCTACTAAATTTCTACATTTAAAAAATCTTATGAAATACAGTAATTGGACACATCCAATAGCCATTTTTCAAGGCTTTAATACCTTAATTTTCTACAAATGTTTTTCAAACAAAAATAAATAAATAAAGCATTAGTCTAATAATAAAATAAACACCCAATAAATTGTCTATAAGCCGAAGCCTTTTTGCCAACCAAGGCTTCTGAAACTAAGCCATTTGTCTCCTGTGTAACATTTATGCTCAAGTTAAGTCTTCTAGAATTTAGTATTATAAAAAGTAAGGAAAAATGTGATTTAGTAAGCCTCAGTAGTATTGCATGGAGATTATGCTAAGCACATAGTGTGATGAAAACTAGACTGAAGATAAGCAGACTAGTTTCTCCTCACAGATCTTTTACAATCTGACTGGGTCATTTGGGGCAGGTAAATTAGTCCATCCAAATGAAGGGTTGGGCTCTTTCCAGCTCTGAAATTCTACAGGTCTGCCATAATTCCATGTGTGACATCATATACTATTTACCCTAACTTTTTTGAGTGACATTAACCCAGAAATCAGTTTCCCAAATATACTTGAGAGGATATAGACAGACCATTCTTAAGGGAAAAGAATACATATTGCACACTCCACATCATTATAAAATAAAAGCCAAATAGATAACAAGATAAGCCACAATTTAAATGATGTGGCTTCATTTAATTAAACTCTATAGTACACTTTTCATTACTTCAATCTCCATGATGATGTTTTAACCCCTGTAAATTACTGACTGCTTTTAAGTAGCCTGCACAGCTCCACACAAACAGATGAAGAAATCAAAACGCCCATAAGAGGGTCTTACAGGGAGGCTCCCTTGTCATTTCTACTTTGCTTCCTAACGTACTTTTGCCACTAGAGTCTCAATACAGGTATTGATCGACTTACGACCACGATTGGTTCCAACAGACTGGTCGTAACACGATTTGGTCGTAAGTTGAGTAGGCTATATGTACAGTACTGTGAAATGATGTTATAAAAATCTTTAAGTCATATTTTATCATAATTTTCTTTCATTATTGCTATATATCATAATTTCCTTTGTTCATTTTATGCCATTTGTATCATCTCTACACCATTTTGTTTCTTATTTTTATATTCGTCAGGTTTAAGTAAAACACTTCATTACCAGTACAACTGGTTTAATATTTGCAAAACATACAAAATTACAAAATACAGGTGCATACAAAAATACAAAATACAGGTGTAAAAAATACCATAGGAAACATTTTCCCAATTGCAAAACATATCAAAATATATAAACATATACGAAACATTTTATTGGCCACTGGTGCTTGGCTGCGGATCGTTGATGTCGTCATCTGAGGCAGCAGTTGGGGTTACCGGAATTGGTTTTTTCATAAACCTGGTGAGCTGTGTCTGAATTGTATGTTTCTTTTTTTTCTTCATAAATTTCACGATACCGACGAAACACATCGTGTGCTATCCGTTCAATCCTTGCAAATCGTTCAATGTTTGGGTCCATTGCTTCGAAATGTATAAGAAGCTTATTCAGTAAAGATAAACCGTCTGATAATCCCTTAGTGGTGAACTTTTTTTCTGACTCCTCCTCTTCTTTCTCAGCTTCTCTTCTTTCTTCTTCCGCCACTCTTTCTTCTTCCAGTTCAATTAGCTCTTCATTTGCAAGTTCTCCGGATTCTCTGTCTAGCAACTCTTCAACATCTTCCA